TTGTATATATTGATATAAAAATGACAATTGTGAATAATGTGAATAATTAACAAAAAACTTTATAGATTGATATTTATTATCATTACCTCTTCTTCTTTTAGCTCTGTTTTCTTTCAGGATATTTTGAACAAAATTATCAAAATATTTTACATGAGGTTTTTTCATAATCTTTTGAAAATTCAATTAAAGGTAAAGAAAGAAAAAAATAAAAATAAATTAATACAAATATATCCCTCTATAATTTCTAATTTCCAATTTATAATCTAATTACCATTACGAGTTTTTCCTCCTCCATCTTCTGGACGTAATTGATCCATTTCTTGAATCAACATTGAGACTGTTGGAACATCTAATGGATTAAAATCATCACAAGTTTCTAATGGAATTGGAACACATACTCTACCTAATAAATAAAATATTTATTATTATATCACTTTTGATAATTAATTAGTAAAATGATATGATAATAAGTTATTTGCCTGTTTTAGGATGTATACAAAATGGACTTTTCAACAAATGATTAATATTTATTGATACTGCCTCATCAAGCCTTGGGTATGCATATTGAAGAATTATTTCATTTTCACATTTTTTTTCATACTAAAACAAAATTAAATGTTGTTAAAAATATAATATTATTATTTTTATTAAATTTTTTTTATAATTAATACCTCTCCTTTTTTATTCAACTCATTTGTTAAATCTTTCCATCTATTTAAAGATGTTTCTGATGGATTTTCCAACCAACGTTTATTTAAAGTATTTCTTATTTCTATGTTCAGCAGAAAATAAAAAAGATTTTTGAATTTTAATAATAATAATAATAATAATAATAATAATAATAAGTATTTCTTTTCTTTCCTTCCTTACTCAGTAGTTACTAATTAATATATTTACCCATGTTAGGAATGCATGCCAATACTTTATTCCAACAATTTTCATCTTTCAAAACATCCTGATCTTTCAATATTAAATCCTCAAAATATTGGTCTATAATATTTAAAGATCGACTAATTATTTGTTCATAAAAAAAAAATTATATATATATGAATACAAATATTATATACATATATTTTCACATATATTAAATTATAGCAAAGTACCTTATGAGAGGATGCAAGTGTTTCTTAAGAGTGACTTTTTTCTGTACTTGTGCACCACCCTATATATATATACATATATATATACTGGTTTGAAAATAATAATTGAAAAAAAAAATATACTCTCATATTATATATGTATCAAAACCTTAATAACTTCCAAATAAGATACAATAGCTTTTCTCTCATTGTTTTTTAATTTCCTGGCTGATTCATCACAGACCCAACAATGAGCACCACGTCTACCTGAATATACCCACAATAAATGTCTAAATCCGAAATCCTCTAAATATTAAAATATGGTTACATGAATTGTGTGATGCGAATAAAACAAGAAAGCTCCTAATCATATAATCATGTAATAATTAATTTATTGATTGATTGATTAACTAACCTCTTAATGCAACATCAATTATCTTGATTGCAATTGTTATAAATCTCCAACATTTTAAGCAAATTTCACCACCACTTAAATGATTAAATTAATTAAAATTTAAATAAATACATATATAAAATATATAAAAATATATACATGCAGATATAATGCACACATACCTGCAACATGTTCTAATATCATCATAATCTGTCATATCAATATCAAATACTAATTCTTTTTCAATTGGTTGA